TTTTGCTCTTGAATCAAAGCTTTGGCAAATTGTATGGGGCTCTTCATGATCTGTTCAACTTTCTGTGCCAAAGAGTCAAGAGCTTCAGGCCTTTCAATGTAATCACCACAAAAGAGGTTGTAGGATCTCACAAAGAAGTGTGGCAAAACTTTCTTGGTCATTGCCTGCAAGAGGTTCTCAAAGAGTTTCAACGTACACTTCGCTCTGTTGGCTTCGGTCCACATCTCTGTTCCAGTTTCTTCAATTGTTTGTAGAAAAAGGTTCTTTAGATGAAATGTCACCAAACTCTTAGGCTGAGTAGAAAGTAACGCTCGATAATGTCTCTTCAGGCATCGATAGCATTCGCGCTGAATGCTGTTTAACTCTTGGCTAAGCAGGTATTCTGCATGGGCAAATGAGATTCGGAAGTAGCATTCTCTGCTGCCATTCTTTGGAGGCTTCACTACCAAGTGATACCCTTCTTGAAGGATTTTGTGGACCACATCAGGAAAAGGCCATTTACGTTCTCTCTTGATCCATTCTCGCGCTACCTTGGGCCACCCGTTACATCGAAAAGCGGGAACAAAATCGAATCCGCCAATTCGCTTGTATCTCTGTGCTTTTTCAATGAAGCAAGCCTCCTCCTCTTTTTCTGTTACTTGGCTAAAAACATGTTTAAACCAGCGGTTATATATCTCTCTTTGCGTTAAGGTATTTCTCTCTAATTTCCCTGCAGATTGATCTGGATGCACCGACCACTCTGATAAACCCCATTCTGTTGACTCATTCTGAGCAAGTGCATTCTCTTCCGTTGTTTCATTGGTTTCTTTGTTGTCGGGCCTTTCAGAAGAGGGAAACTTAACTTGTGAGACATTTTCCTCCCCACTTCTTCCCTCACTTTCTTGGAAATGTTTTGCTGTGACATTTTGATGAGTCACGTCATCCAATGTAGCTTCGGCCGACAAATCTTTCTTTCTTTCGGTCTCACTTCCTGATCGGCTTTCCGCATCTCGAATTCGGGCTCTGATTTCCCAAGTCCTGTCGCTGGAGACAATCTCTTGTATCATAGTGCGGAACAATTTGGGATCCCCACTCAAGCCACGTTCTCTAACAGAAACGTTCAAGTCTTTAACAAGTTTTAGAAGATCATTTACAGCTTCGACGTGTTCCCTGGTGTACTCTACGCCTCTGGCCTCACAAACATATTGGGCGAGAAACTCCAAAACGCTTGCGTCAAGTGTGGGACGATTTTTGTCGTCTTTCATCTGCTCTAATTCTTCCAACATAGAGCCAAATGATTGGGCGAAGTTTAAGGTAACAGCGGGGCTGGTCGTTTTGTTTTTTAATTCGCAAGTAAATTGTAAAGCAGGTATAAACTCCTTGCGCGACATTACCTGAAACATGTTACTAACGAAGTCGACTATGTAAGGCGATGCGCTTCCATAGATTGCTGGATGAAAGTTCTTTAATGCCGAAGTGGCCACGTATTCAGTGTCTTCTACAAGGCAGGATTGCAACACAGGGTGTCCGGCTCCTTTAACTCTGACGTGCATCACATTTTCGGGTAAATATTCGATCAGTTCTTCGTCGATCGCTAAGTTATCTGCAGTCGGAAATATGACGATATCCACGTCTCCAATGTCGTTGGGGTCTTGACATTTTAAATCTTCGGCAGCGCTTCCATAAGGTCGAAACATGACGCGATTCTGAGTTGTTTTGCCCAGAAACTTTGATAGGTTTTCAAGAATAAAGCTTGTGACATTTTCTGTGTATTCCTTCCACTTTTCACCTTCGCTATCTAATTCTCCCAGCGACTTGTAAATCAAGTTTAGATCCTGAGGATTTGAATCCTGCTCTTGGGTGCCTTTCGCCGCCATTATGCAGAGCACAAATGTTAAGCACAGTGAAACTATTAAGAGTTTACAACCACTAAAAGAGGGAAATTTCAAAGAACTGGGACTTTTGGTTTCTTAGAACATTTTCGGGTTTGTCAGTAATCTCTCGGCCAATCAAGCGTGATGAGGTTTCAAAAAGAAAACGTCATGCTTGTTTTAAATCGTAAGTGACACATTTCAGGGATCACCTTTTTTGAACCCAGGAACACTGGGGGTAATGTTTCTGATATTTTTACATCTTTCAAAACCCTGAGAAGTCAAAAATGTCTCACCAAAGGAATCCCAGTTCCATCTTTGACTACGCAAACTTTCAAAGTGTACTGGCAGTAGGGTTCACTGCTGTCAGTTTCAAAAACACAAACAGATTACTCTCGTTAGCTTTCGTTACAGGTTTGTTCGAGGAATCTGCAAATTTCTTTACATGAGCTTTATCCAAACCACTAGACCAGCAACTCTTACTCAAGTTTAATCACAGAATTTAGGAAAAAAAGGGACTTTCCCTTCACATGCAGTTGCACAAGATAGACTGAACAGTTCTTTCACACCAATTTGTGTTCTGCTCAAACCAATTACTGATAAATCCAAGCAAAACCAAACTTATTTTTTTCGGGACAAAGCAGCTCCTAAGCAAGGTATCAGACATCAGAGTAGCTTTTCTCGACCAAGAACTCACCCCGGTATCCTCAGTTAAAGACTTAGGCATTACACTGGACTCATACCTCAACTCTAATGATCATGTAAACACGTTAACATCGTCTCTCCTGTCCATGTTATGTCCGATCAGTAGGGTCAGACACCTGTTTACTAAACCTGTCTTGTCAACTTTTTTGAATTCTCTTATTTTTAGTAAACTTTTTTACTGTTCCACTGTCTGGGCAGGCACCTCAAAGTAAAATCTACTGAAGTTACAATTAGTGCAAAACTTCCCAGCCCGCGTATTAACAGATACCAAAAAGTTTGATCACATCTCGCCTGTTCTTCGGGAATTAGGGTGGCCCTCCGTCAAAGATCAGCTGTTAGTCCGTGATACTACCCAAGTATACAAAATTGTTAATGACCCCGTTGTACCTAAGTAGTAAACTCAGTAAGCGATCAGATACACACCACTACAACACGAGGAAAAGGGACAATCTAAATCTCCCTCTATGCAGAACAGTTACCGCGCAACGGTCATCTTACTATCGCGCTGTAAGTGCCTGGAACTCTCTGACCGCAGACACTAGGAATAACCCGTCACTATGTACCTTTAAGGTGGCTGAACACAGTTTTGCGGATGGTCAGCGGTAACTTGCGTGACGGCGCGTGTTTTAAATTAGACAAACAAACATGGCGGCGAAAAAGCAATGGTACACAGAAGACGATCTCTCAAAATCTACTCATAAGAATTTTGTGATATTTGGCAGAATCTTTCCTTTCATTGTATTTTAAGTAATGAGAACTTTAAAATGGAAGTTGAACAGACGAATTTTTTGACACATTTAATAATTACAGTACAATTAAATTATTGATTATCTAAAAACCCGTCTGTTAAAATTTGGTTAAATAAGTTTCAAATGGTGATGATTAATTATAGTAAGCTGTGTGCAAGTTAATAGGAAAATCTAATGAGCAAGTTTTATGTAAACTGAGAAAAAGTGAAAATTTCAGGTTGTATTCAATCGTTCATGTTGCCATGGAAACTACGAAAACGTCAATTTTTACCTGTCAATCAAAATCTTTTATCAGTACACTTTTCACTTGCCAAGTTTCAGCTTGTGAGCAGCAACCTTTCTCTTGCCATGATTTGGCAAATGACATATAATCAAAAACTGCCAAAACTGTGTTCAGCCACCTTAAGAGGAGCGTCAAACGCGAATTGCGGGTGCAGAACCCATGCGTTAAATAGTTAAAATATTTGATTTAGTTTAGATCTCCAAAGAGATAACGTAATTGCACGCGCATAGTTTAAACTTTTATTTTTGTACCAAGATTGTGATTATTTTAAGCTTTTTCTTCTTATTCCCTTCTCTTTAGCATTTGTAAATTAACTTCAGAATAGCCCTTTGAGAGAGTTAATAAAATTATTGTATTTTATTATATAAACTGCAGTATTTTACAAGGATTTCTACCACCGAGAAATGTGGTATCTACGATATTCTAATACGATATTTTTACATGTGAAGATATCGATAATTTCACTGACATCAGGTTTGTCTCTTAAATTGTACTTAAATTCGTTGGTGTATCATCGAAACATCTTCGGGTCTTCCTCGAAAGTGCTCGGCAATCTTCGGAAATCTTCGGACATCCTCGGAAATTTTCAGAAATTCTCGGAAAATGTTCGGGAACGTTCGTCTGGTCTTCGGGACAATTTGAAAAATCTTCGGAAATCTTCGGAAGGTGGTCGGAAATCTTCGGAAAATCATCAAAAACGCCGTCATCAGTATGTTTATATAATAAACAGAATAATACATGGACGCTTGGACATATGGAATTTATCTTCTCGTGTTCACATTCGATATCTCACTTGTTCGCTGCGCTCACTCGTTCGATATCGATGTGAACACTCGAAGATAAATTCCATATCTCCGCGCGACCATGTATTATTCTCTATGTATTTTTTTTTCTTTAGAGCGATACAGTCACCTTCTTTTTCAGTTTAAACCTTGTTTCCTATGATTTATTTAAGTTAAGTATACAAAAGTACTAAAATCTCAGAAAAAATTAGTGGATTATGCCAACACTGCCAAAGTTGAATTTATTGTTGACCCGAACAGTTTTATTCCATGGTTGATGAATTTACAGCTATTTGCACATTAGGTGATCAAGTGACTGCCAGGGGGGTGTCCAGATTGGTTCTTTGAAAACATTATGACCTGATCATAATGCTTGCATAGACGATACAGAATGTCCCGGCAGAAAAACAGCATTTTGATTAATAAACATGCGCTGAACCGTGAAAAACTTTGCTTTAAGTCTAAATGATAGAGATGACGAAGTAAAGGATTCTAGGAAAACGTCAATTGCTTTGTACCTAGGGTTTCTCAGGCCTCTTGGTCAACGGTTAGCGAACATTTTCCGAGGAGACTCATATAAGGACACTATATTTTAAAAAATACGACTGTTTTGAGTGATTGTCAGAAAATGTTACTTCCAAATACTAACTCACTTTTCTTTTAGTAAGTTTCAGCTTAACTTGGTCGAAACGTCTAACAATATTAGCTTCCTTTTAAGTTTACTTTCGAAGGGAAAGCTCATTTTTTTTGCTTTTTTTCTCCTCCGAGGAATTGAAAATATAAAAGTGCTTGAAGAAATGGTAAAGAAAATCCTCCTTTGGTGTCTTAAAACAAATACGTTCTACTGTTTGGTTTGCTTGAGACATCTTAAGGTATATGTTTTATTTTCTTTTATGTAAGCACTTGGGTAAATTCAATTTAGTTGCTCGTATTTCACCTAACTTTGTGACTTGAAATCTCAGTTATATTTGTTGTCCTTAAGTCTAGAATATGATTAATTTATATAAGGCTCATGATAAACTTGCTATCCATCGCAATGAGCATGTCAATCTAATGGAATATCGTTGGCTTCTGATTTAGCTTGATGTGACTCTAGTTTGAAGCACAATCTACTAAAAATTTGTTCCCCTGGTTTTACAGGCATTAGATGACTCACATCGAAAGGATCTTTAGCATCAGGATTAAGTAATCTGCTGATCAGAGCTTGTTCATTCCCTGGTGCAAAGTCGTCCTGCCTCAACAAATACTTATACAGTTCAATCACACCCGTAATGCCAAGCAGCACGCGGCGCCTTATTGGTTCATTGCTAAACCAAACCTTGCAGAAGACCACCAGCCACGCATTGTCGAACATTTTATACATTGTATCGATATGGACTTTGTGAATTTTTCTCATTTCCCTAAGATCGTACACCAGGGTTTTTTCCTGAGGGTCAAGAGATTCAATCAGCCCGTTGCTTTCATCCTCGTTGAAGGCTTTATCGGTTAACTCTTTGCTGATGGCCAGGTACTCCTCCCTTAGCTCGTGGAGTCGGTAGACTTTTGATGGACCATTTCCTTGAGGACTCTCTTTCCGCTGCTCTCTCTGAGTAGTGCCTGCGGTGAATGGAGGCTTCTTGACCTTCCCACAAGGCTCTTCGCTAGCTGTGGTTGTTTCGGGTTGGATAGACGGTGTTTGCTTGTTAGCTGGTACGCGTTGTTGCTTTACAACATGTCTTGGATTTTCGTTTGGCGTGGCCTGAATCAACTTCTTTGCCATTTGTATGGGATTCTCCAAGAGCTGTTCAACTGTATCCGCTACTGATTCCAGAATCTCAGGGTTTCTTATGTAGTCAACGCAAAATAAGTTGTAAGATCCTACAAAAAAATGTCTCAAATCTTTCTTTTCTAGGGCTTTTAGTAGGTTTGCAAGGACCTTCTTCATGCACTCAGCTCTGTTTTCGTCGGTCCACATTTCAGTGCCTGTTTCTTCTATTGTTTGCAGAAAAAGATTCTTCAGGTGGAATGACACCAAACCTTTTTGGGTAGTTTGCAGATAAGCCCGATGATATTTCTTCAGGCAACGATAGCATTCACGCTGTACGTTGTTCATCTCTTGGCTTAAGAGATACTCAGCATGACCAAACGATAATCGGAAGTCGCAATCTTTCTTGACACTCGTCTTTGAAGGCTTTACCACCAAATGAAACCCTTCCTGGACAATTTTGTCTACCACGTCTTGGGACGGCCATTTACGTTCTCTTGTCGTCCATTCTTGTGCAACTTTTGGCCATCCTGGGGATTTCAAAGCAGGCACAAAGTCAACACCGCCTTCTACCTTAAGATTTTGCACTTCACTGGTGTCTATGAGTTGTCTTTCCTGTAAGGAATCCTCGATTGCTTCGGTTATTCTTCCAACTGGATTTCTTACTGAGGGGCAGGGTGCAACTGAGCATTCCTCGAGTATGGCTCTCTCTTCTTGGTTACCAGTTGCATTGCGCGGTGGGTGCTTTTTATAGATAAGCTTTTCTCTTCTTAAAACCTGCTTTTTTCCCCTCGCCAGTAAATTGTTCGGATCTTCTTTTTGAGCAGCCTGTCCGCCCTGTTTCGTGTCGCTACTATTGGTTATTTCCACTCCTGCTCGTGCACCCACAATGTTTTTGACTTTGAATTTCGACCAGTTATCCGCTGGAGTAACTGCTGCCAGTTTGCTTGTAACAGATTCGACGTCGTCTGTGCGTCTTCTGAATTTATCTGACTTTTGTGGTGTTGATGCATTCTCATTTATCGACGTCTGCTGCGAGTGCTGGGCTTTGTCACTTTCGCTTCCTTGCACAGCATTACACTGACCATGCATAGCTTCATCGTCAGAACAATGTCTTTCCATAGCCCCTTCCTCTCTAGGCTGTGACAGACTTCCGTTTTCGATAATACGGCCTTTGAGGTCACCGTACCAAAAACTTTTCTGGAAAAGCTCTGTAAATATTCCCGGAACAATGTTTGCACCATTTTCATTCCAAACCATTTCAGAATCATTTGCTAAGTCTGTAAGTTCGTTTGCAACTTCACTATACGCCCTGGCAAAGTACAATTCTCTTGCAGTACACATGCGAAGGACCATCGACTCTAATGAAGTAGAGTCAAAATTAGCAACATCCTGTGGATCTTTTAGCGACTGGAAACATTCCGATAAAGTATCAAACGCTTTTTCAAAGTTAACGGTTAAAGCGGGACTGGTAATGCTGTTTTTCACATGGTAATGTGACCGTCCAAACGAGGAGGTCTCCTTGCGGGACATTAGCTGAGTTGTGTGCCCAAGAAAAGTTGAGAATTGGGCCATTGAACTGCCATAAATCCCTGGATGGAAATTCTTTAAAGCTGAAGTAGCAACATACTCAGTGCCTTCTAGGAGGCAGGACTGTAGTACGGGGTGGTCTGTCCCTTTGATTCTTACGTGCATCGGATTCTCTGAATATTCGATCATGTCTTCATGAACCATCAAGTTTTCAGAACAAGGAAAGATCACGACATCTACGTCTCCTATATCACTGGGTTGTACGCACTTTAAATCTTCAGCGGCACTTCCATATGGCTGAAACCTGGTTGCGTTTTGATCCGAGTGCCGCTTTAGAACGTGAAACAAGACATTTTCAGTGTATTCCTTCAGTTGCCTTCCCGTTTCACTTTGTTGCCCAACAGACCTCAAAATTGAATTAAACTCTTTGTTTTCCATGTCGTCCTCATTCGTACACAAGCGATATACAAAATGATAAGGGTTACTTGAAGGAAACATATAGCATCTGGTCTTTCAGTTTTTAGAGTGTTTTTAGATTATTGCCAAGTGCTCGCCCACAGTTAGCTTTGTCTAAGATGAAATACGTATAGTAAAAATAGTTAGAAAGTAAAAACGGAGTTTCAGAGAAAAGTTTTCGAAATAGGAGGCTTTTAGGTTCTGAAAGCTTAGTAGTATCAGTAGGAGATATTTAAGAATTTTTACCTTCGGTTTCCAAAGCCACATTTCAAACGTTATTCCGAAACGTGACCGTTAACCCCCTGGATCAAGACGGACAATGAGATGGCGCTTTTGAAGGAATACAAAAGTGTGAAATGCTCACGTTTTCTGATCATAGTCATTTCTTTTATCTGGTAGGCCATTAATTGACTGACTTCACACTGTGTTAATTAAGACTATTTTGCCAAAATGCTTTTGGAAAAGAGGAACTGACAAACGGAACATGTAAGAAATAATTACGCGGGATGACGTATTCAGCCAGCGTCATAAAACGCATTCCTTTGGTATTTTTCTTGGAAGTCAAAAAGTGCCTTGTTGTATTTAACCTCCCCGTATCCCGTGCCCGTCCCGAAAAATTGTGTAATTTTTTTTTGTTGGCTGCAACTTCGAATCAAGTGTAAGTCAGGTTGGATTTCACAAGCAGAAAAAAGATACTGCGTCAGCAAGGGATGGAAAAGTACGCTTACCGCGTAGATGAGGACAAAGTCAAGGCTGTGTTCTACGGCGCCCGGTCGCCTGAGGCGACCAAGACTTGGCCTCGGGCGACTAAAAATATAGTCCAGGTAATCCAGCCGGGCGACATGCTGATGTTGATTTCTTGATTTAAAGTCAAAAAGCTAGAATTTATTCCTTGCGATTTCGTAGCTCGCTCGGCCGCGTGGCGGCCTAGAAAGAACGTTCCGCTCGCTAAGAATCTCGCGAGGTCAACTTGTACGTAATATATCCATCAAAAAGGTTTTTAAAAGAAAATGTTTTTTACAGATCGTTCCACTTGAATCCACATGTAACATAATCCTTGACTATGAACGTGACGGGCTGCACATTTTTCGATTTTAACAGCTTTTCAAAATAGTATTAAAACTTTTTCTTCAAATTTGTATGGTTCATTGGTTAGTTTTTCAAAAGCAATTGTTACTTCTACTTGCGAAACAAAGTTTTGTATTTTAAAAAATCTCTCTCCCACGGATCAAAAAACACTATCATCATTGGATATCTTCTTTTAGCCTGCGTAGCAGGCGCTTGGAAGTAGTGGGCACAAGAAAAAACGGGCACGCGAGAAGGAGACACGCGAGGGGAGAGGTAGCTCCCTCACCCCTCGCGTGTTTCCCTCGCGCGTGCCCGTTCTCTTTTTCGCCCACTACTTCCGAGCGCCTGCTACGCAGGCTAAACTGGCCTCCAAGGGTAAACATACGCCTCTCGAAAAGAATGTGGGGATGCGCTAAAAAGGAAAAAACGTCACAGGGAAATTACAGTCGAACTTCTATGTGCGACCAGCTCTCGTAAGCGACCGCCCCGCATAAGCGACTGCCAATCCAAAACACCAAAACGTTCCCAGTCAAGGCCTTACATTTGAAATCTGTAGTAAACGACCACCTCCTGTAAGCTATCTGCTGCCGGAAATATGACAGTAGGCTGATTTAGCAGCAGAACGAGAACGCCAGTTGACGACGGCGCGCGCAAACTAAACAACTGGCTTGACCAATGGCAGAGCGGCAAATTGAGCACTGGAAGTCGTGTTTAGGTCTTTTCCGCGCGCTTTCCCGTAGTCAAATGACGTTCCTGTCCTGTTGCTAAATCAGCCTAATATCCACGTCTCCAACGTCGTTAGGGTCTTGACATTTTAAATCTTCGGCAGCGCTTCTATAAGGTCGAAACATAACGCGATTCTGAGTACATTTTCAGTGTATTCTTTGCACTTTTAACCTTCGCTATATAATTCTCCCAGAGACTTGTAAAGCAAGTTTAGATCCTGAGGATTTGAATCCTGCTCTTGGGTGCTTTTTGCCGCCATTATGCAAACCACAAATGTTAAGCAGGTGAAGCGCTAGAGAAATTACAACCACTAAAAGAGGGAAATTTCAAAGAACTGGAACTTTCGGTTTCTTAGAATATTTCTGGGGTTGCCAATAATCACACGGCCAATCAAGCGTGATGTTGACAGAAACAAGAAAACGTGATGCTTTTTTTTAGGATGTAACGCATATCAGGGATCGCTCCCCCCCGGAGAGCTTGCTTGGGTTAATATTTTGCTGGGTATGTTTCGCTGGCTTCTCAGAACCCCTACCTTATTAGAGTCTATTCTGTAGCCATATTATACACCCCCTACCTGAATTTTCCGACACCCAAACTCCTGAAAATGTGCGAACCCATTCTAGTAACGACCTCACATGGAATAGTCATGTGGACTACACTGTTAACCGTTTAAGCCCTAAGAGTGATGAGCGTCAAATTTCCCCTTCTAACATCAATGCTTTGTAAAACAGAGTGGTCAAGAGAATTACGGACATGATCATCACACAAGATGAATCTAATTGATACTTCAACAAATTCTCCCCACTACTTCTATTGAAAATGTATAGGGATAACAAATGAGAATTTGAATTTTGATGTTAGGGTTTAAAGGGTTAAGAAAGCCTGTAAGAAATGATATTCCCTAAGGGTACTGCGTAGAGCAGGTGTTAGCAAAGCTAGCATTCTGAAAGTATATCTTACTACGATAAGACCAGTTTTAGAATACGCTGTGCGCGTATGGCAATCTATCCTAGACTACTTAGCTGATGTAATAGAGTCAGTGCAAAAAAGGGCACTTAAGATAGTTTTCCTGCGGAGGAATCCAGAGGGCCTGGGTCAAGCACACTTGCCAATACTGCAAGAGAGAAGAAAATAGAGTGTTTTCACATGACGTCACGCCGGCCATATTGGTGTCCCAAAACAATGAAATGGCGGCCATGTTGGTGTCCCAAACCAATCCTGTGGGAGTTGACTTCCTTTCTTATGCAAACGCTTTCTTTTGTTCCAATAAATTTGCATAGATGCTGGCCACGTGAGTGAAAACACTCTATACTTATGCTATAAATATGTGGAAAAGATGAAATCTAGAGACCATCCTGTATTTAAATTGCTACCTAGGCCTGTTGCAGGTATTTGTAATTACAAGCTCAGAAAGAACTCTCCGAGAAATTCCTTCTATTTAATGCCTCAATTACTTGTAGGACCAAGTGGGCAGATTCATTTTTACATTTAGATCTTTTAAGTAAACTTTTACAAGTAATATTATTATTATTATTCATATTTGGAAATATCTAGGTAAATTAGTAGTATTTTTATAGTACATCTTGAAATTAGTCTTGTAAATCTTTAAGCTCACCAATAAACTTGTATAGTAGATAACTGTTATAAAAATGCAACCCCATAATAGTAAATCCAGTCGTGCAAATGCGACCCCATCCAGCTGCACATACCCATTAGCCTAGCCCCCTGTTTTCGAAGCCAGGAACGATGGTGAAGGAATTTAAAACTTTCAAAGCGCTGTGTGGAATATGTCTCAGCAAATCCATTGAGTTCGTTCTTGGAGGGTTCTATAATGTTCCATGCTTTTAATTTCATCGCGGCAGGATTAGCTCAGTCGGTAGAGCGCTTGACTGCAGAGCGGAAGGTCGCAAGTTCGTTTCCTGGGACCGGACCAATACTCAAGGTCTTAAAATGACTGAGAAATGAAGGTACTACCTTTGCCCTGCAAATGGCTAGACCTTAGCGTTGCTTGGATAACCATGTAAAATGGCGGTCCTGTCTCCAGCAGAAGACTTAAGAGATAGTGCCCCCAATTTGTACTTTCGTGCTAAATACATTGACACTCAAATAAAGTGCTTTTTTTCAATGCCGGCAAAAGGAATAGTGTTCTCTCGTTACACGACTAATTCTAATGTCTGTTCCAGGAACTTGCAAATTTCTGTACGTGGTTTTATCCACAAGATAAATGGCAATACTAATTCTAATAAAAAAATTAGACAACCTGAAAGGGACTCTCTCCTCACAGTTGCCGCATAGAATGGACTTAAGAGCAATACATTCATGTTACTTCTTATTCATTTAATCCTGTTTTAAATGATTAATTGTATAAAGTTATTCAATCTTCATATTACAGCTCCGTGACGATCGAAACAGTAAATCTCTCGAGACTATTTGGCGCACTCGCGCACTGCTGGCTATTTGACCAGCGGGTAGCCTTTTTACCGACCCACCCCCCTCTCCCCTCAGGAAAAATCGGAGAAGGGGCCCCTTCTCCGATTTTTCCTGAGGGGACGTGGGTCTCTACACAGGCTACTAGTGAGGAGCTACATACTGATCAAGGGAGACCCCTGGTGTCTCAATAAAAAAGATTTGTTTATTAGTTGCGTATATTTTCTACGAAAAAGTTCATTTTTTAAATATATTTTCTTCTGAATAGTTAAGGATCTTTGACCCACCTAGTACCTGAAGAAGGTATAATGACAATGGCGTCATTAAACATTCACAGTAAATAACTGCTACTGTCAGGTTTGTTTGAGGAATCTTAGTAAAATCTTAGTATCTAAACAACTCGTTGACATTCACTTTATTCACTTTCATATTTTGTCTTAACTTTCTTTTGGCTTCATGTGTCGAGTACGTCTGTTTAATTTACGTAGCAAGGTGATGACGTCAGTCTAATAGAATGTCATCCTGAATAACCTTTGAAGCCTGAGCCGGCCTGACCTTCTCACCGCGAAAAAGTTCTCGAATAAACTGGGGCCCTGAATCAGCAGGCAAGATGTGGCTCAAGTCGAAAGAATCCTTGGAAGAAGGATCAAGCATTCGTTGAATGATAGCTTCTTCATTTCCAGTTGCAAAGTCCTCTTGCTTTAGTACATACTTGCACAACTCAAGGACGCTCTTAATCCCATCAAGGATACGACTCCTAATGTTCGGTTCTCGGCTGAGCAGAATTTTGAAGTAAGCTGTGTCCCAGCAGATATCAAACATTTTAGGGAAGTCGGCAACTTGAATAATATGATACTTTTCAATTTCTCGCAGATCTTCTATTATGGACTTCTCCAGAGAAGAAAGACTTTGGAGGCTGCAATGAGGGTCGTTAAAAGCCAAATCAGTCATCTCCTTGCTAGTAGACAGAAAAATGTCTTTTAGGTCGTGGTAACGGAAACTATTAATCGAAATTCTCTCTTGATTTATTGCTTCTTTAAATTCTTTCTCAGTGCCTTTGCAAGAAACTTCTTGATGGACATCACTTTGACCTTGTGTATTGAGAGCTGGCATGCAGTTTTGTTCTCTTTTCGTCTGTTCGGAATTTTGTCTCTGGGCCAATTTTCTCACAAATTGCATCGGATTTTCATTGATCTTCTCACATATTCCAACCAAGGGCTCCAGAATATTGGGGTCTGCGATGTAGTCTATACTGAACAGGTTGTAAGATCTCACAAAGAAGTGACGCAAATCTCTCTTTCTTAGAGCTTCCAAAAGGTTTCGAAACAACTTCATCATGCACTCTACTCTTTTGCTTTGCGTCCACATTTCAGCACCAGTCTCTTCAACTGTTTTCAGAAAGAGGTTCTTCAGATGAAATGATACCAAACTCTTGGGTTTTGTGGAAAGATAGGCTCGATGAAATTTTTTTAGGCAGCGATAACACTCGCGCTGGACTTCGTTTAACTCTCTGCTTAACAGGAATTCTGCATTTGCAAAGGATATTCTGAAATCGCATTCTAGATTGCCACCATTCTTTGGAGCTTTTACAACCAAATGAAAACCCTCCTGGAGAATTTGGTCGATTACCTTTTGAGAAGGCCACTTGCGTTCTCTTCTGATCCATTCTTGCGCAACAATGGGCCATCCTGGAGCTTTAAATGCTGGAACGAAGTCGAATCCACCTTTTAGTTGATCCGAACACTTTTCAAAGTCTGTGACGTTAGCGGCTTCCTTAATGGAATGTTCTCCTAGTTCAGATGTGGATCCAAACAGGTGATCGAAAAAAAGGTTTAGTATTCGCTTTTCACGTGCTTCCGCTTCACCTTGAGAGGGGCTTTGATACTTCTCTATTGTCAACAGCTGCTCTTTCTTAGACGAAATATGGTTTTCAACGTGGTCCCCTCTACGTTTTGTCTCGCTCCTCTCGTCCATTGCATCACAGTCACCGTTTCCCGCGCGATTCCCGTCGGAGTGAAACTCTCCAGCATTTGTTTGTGCTTCCTCGCAATGTTCTGTCTCGACACATGGCAATTTACAGGATGAGCATGTCCTCTGAAATAAGTTTGCGTTATTTTCTTTTCTTTGTTGCTCGCCCGACAAGACGTGTTGCTTTTCGCCAATTTTTCGAGATTCCATGTTCTTCTTCCTCCGGGTCTCATAATCATGTGGTTGGTTCTTAGAAATGCTTTGAAATCGAGCTTGAAGGGTTTTCGCTCTGTCGCTCTGATAAAACTCAATAAAAACCGGCAGCATTTCTGAAACAGTGTTCAGACGTTTGTTATCAAGATACATACCTACTTCATTCATAAACTGAGTAATATCGTCAATAACCTTGGCATGTTCTTTGGTATAAACAGTTCCGGTAAGATTACAAAAGACATGTACCAGCCATTCCCATTCTTCTGTGTGGACATGAGGCGAGGCATCACTCGGTTGTTTATTTAACGACCGGGTAAAATTCACTGTAATAGCAGGACTGGCTTCCTTGCCTTTTAAATAGGAGGTAGATTGTAGAAGGGATGACAGTTCTGGAGTCAACATTTTCTGTTGATGAGCACGGGTGGTAATATCTACTATGTAAGGCGCTGAACGTCCATAAATTGCCGGGTGAAACTTCTTTAAAGCCGAGGTGGCTACGTACTCTTTGTCTTCTACAAGGCAGGACTTTAGAATGGGGTGATCAGCTCCTTTGATTCTGACGTGCATTGGATTCTCCGGTAAATATTCAATCAATTCCTCGTGGATCATCAAATTATCTGAATCAGGATATATCACGATATCCACATCTCCCACATCATCTGGCTCAATGCACTTTAAATCTTCAGCAGCGCTTCCATATGGACGGAAAAGTATGCCGTTTTCCGACCTTTCTTCTAGAAGTTTTGAAAGTTGCTTTAGAAAGTAAAATAAGACAGTTTGGGTGTGCTCCCTCCATTTTCGAGCATCGTTTCCTTGATCCCCGAGAGACTCAAATTGTAAGCTTAGTTCCTGTGTTTTTTCATCATACCCTGCCCAAGCCATTGTATCGTTCAAACTATCGCTTGGACGAGTGTGCTGAGTTTTATGACATCTGAGCCTCTAAAATAGAATATTTCAGGGATTCGACATTTCAGTTTCAAAAACAATTTTTGTAAGTAAAACTACCATTGGCTGGTCGGGTTGTTAGTGTAATTTCCATTTTGAAAAATGAATTCATTGATAGAAAATGTTTGATAGGTTAGAAAGGTTATTTTTGCAGTGAAACCAAAACATTCCTTCCTTGAGAGAATATTCCAATGAATATTCCCTTGAGTCATGTGACGTTTTTATCTATCTTTTTCAAACACACGATATTTGTTTGGTGGTGACAAGATTTCGGTTTCCAAGCCGGGTACCAATCGAAGCTGAAGACTCTTGGTGGGTTACAGCCTTCAGGAGTGGCAGGCGTTTAACCCTTTTAAAAGTCCCAAGAGTACGTGATCAACATCAACTTTCTCTTAACAATATCCATACATAATTTAATAGAAAAGTTTATGAGAATGTATAAGATGATCACCTGAGGGAAAATGCTTTGATCTTTGAACAAATTCTCTCAACTAATTCTGTAAGGAAATGTATGAAGGTCAGTTTCGTGGAGAATTTGTATGTGGATATTGGGGCTTAAAGGGTGAAAGGGGGACGGAAGATGGGAAATCACAGCACCAGACGAGTTGATTAGCGGAGACTTTGTTCACAAGAAAAGATTCAACATTTTTGCTCTGTTGACAAGAAACTGACGAAGCAGGTTGAATTTTAACGTTCTTCGGTGAATTTACAACCTGGCCATGCGTAGAGGTCTACTTTAGAATCACCCAGCTGGGCTGCGAGGGAGTCATGCACCCACGCCTTTGTCGTTCAATAAGTTTGAAGGTTATGGTGTTAACAGTACACCGGTCCAATTTCCGACCCTACCGACTCTAAATTTGACTTTGAGTTTGGAGTGAAAATTTGTGAACCGCTAGGCGTGTTAATGTTTCTACGTTCAAGGAGTTCGCATGAGCTGATTTTACTCTCTTGGTGTGAACGGAACAGCTGAGCGCCTAAATTTTTTGACAGGTCGAAAATTTCGTCTGGTGCCGTGTAGAAGTGAGCCTCTAAGGTGCGCGCGCATGGTGGGTTAGACCACAATATAAATACCTTCGCTACCTAATTTTCCCAGAGACTTGAAAATCAGGTGTTGATCCTGAGTTTTTGCATCTTCTTGGGTGCCTTTCGCTGCCATTGTGAAAAGCATTAATGGTAAACAGAGAGAAACTCTTAAGAATCTACAACCACTAAAAGAGGGATTTCTAAGAACTGGAACTTCCGGTTTCTTAGAATATTTCCGGGTTTGTCAATAACAAGCGTGATGTTGACAGAAAAAAGAAAATGTCATGCATTTTCTAAGAATGTGAAGCATGTCAGGGATCGCAATCTGTCTTCGAAGCCGGGGGGCACCTAGTAATAGGCTAATGGGGATGTGCCGCTGGATGGAGTCGCATTTTAACGACTGGATTGACTATTGGATTGCATTTTCCATATCGTTACTAGAATGGGATCGCTCATTTTCGGGATTTTGGAGGCAAGAATATTCCGGTAATTAGGGATTTCAAACCCGAGGATTTTTACTACATTATTAACAAATGCGACAATTTATTTCAGGATGACTTTGATAAAAGGCTTTATAAGGTAGATGAATAAACAGAAAGTGACTAACGTGGGATCGCGAAAATTACATTTACCCAACAGTGACAGATACGGGGTGTATAATTGGCCACAGAATTCACTATAATGGGGTAGCGGTTGTGAGAGACTAGCGACACATAACCAGCAAAAACGTACTCAAATAACCCCCCCGGGTTTTTGAAGCCAGAAACTATGCAAGAGTAATTTTAAACCTTCAAAAGCCTGTGTTGAATATGTCTCAGTAAAGCCATTGGGTTCCGTCTTGGAGGGTTTTATAATGTTCTATGTTTTTAGTTTCAATGGGGGCAAAAGGAATATTATTCTCTCGTTACACGACTAATTCTAATGTTTGTCCCAGGAACTTGAGAATTCCTGTACGTGGTTTTATCCACAAGATAAATGGCAATACTAACTCTAATAAAAAAATTAGACAAACTGAAAGAGACTCTCTCCTCATAGTTGCCGCATAGAATGGACTTAAGAGCAATACAGTCTCCTTACTTCTTGTTCATTCAATCCTGTTTTCAATGATTTATTGTACGCAGTTATTCACTCTTAATATTACAGTTCCTGTGACGATCAAAACAGTAAATCATTCGAGATCTATTTGGCGCACTGCTGGCTATTTAAGCTCATCATTTGGTCACTAATCCAGAAATGTCTCATAATTTCCTTTTTTGCTAATTTTACTATATTCAAGACTTGATTATAGAAGTGAATTTTCAGGACTCTGAAAACACCTTGTATCCTTTTGCATCATCAATACAGTTGCGTCAACTATTTCTACCCAGCATCCTCAGGCCTTTGACCAGCGGGTAACCTGTCTTTAGACCCCCCGCCTCCCCTCGGGAAAAATCGGAGAGGGGGCCCCTTCTCCGATTTTTCCTGAGGGGAGGTTGGTCTGTACACAGGCTACCAGCTGGGAGCAACATACTGATCAAGGGAGAGACTTAGTGACTCAATAAAAAAATGGTTGCATGGAAAATGCCACTTTTGTACCAGTAACGCGCCGTTCTAGTAATGTATTTCAATTTGAACTACCGAAACTTAAGAGACTAGAGTACATGGCCTTTTCTTGAGTATATTCACTGTATTTTTTTTACGAAAAAGCTCATTTTTGAAATTTATTTTCTTCTGTAGTGGATAGTTTTAAGGATCTTTGACGCACTTAGTACCTGAAGAAGCTATAATGACAATGGCCTCCTTAAACATTCACAATAAATAACTGCTACTGTCAGGTTTGTTTGAGGAATCTTAGTAAATCTAATTAGTGTACAAGCAACTCGTTGACATCCAGTTTAGTCACTTTATCTTAACTTTCTTTTGGCTCAAGTTGTTGAGTACGCCTGCTTAATTTACATAGCAAGGTGATGACGTCAGTCTAATGGAATGTCCTCCTGAATAACCTTTGGAGCCTGAGCCGGCCTGAGTCGGAGCCTGACTTTCCCACCACGAAAAATTCTTCGAAAGAGAGAGCTGAGTTGAAACCGTACACTAGCAAACAAGATTTGGTTCAACAACTGGAAAGAATCCTTGAAGGAAGGATCCAGTATTCGTTGAATAATAGCTTCTTTATTTCCAGTTGCAAAGTCTTCTTGCTTTAGTACATACTTGCACCATTCGAGGACGCTCTTAATCCCATCAAGAATACGACTCCTAATGTTCGGTTCTTGGCTGATCAGAATTTTGAAGTAAGCGGTGTCCCACCAGATATCAAACACTTTAGGGAAGTCAGAAACTTGAACGATATGGTACTTTTCAATTTCTCGCAGATCTTCTATTATGGACTTCTCCAGAGAAGGAAGACTTTGGAGACTGCAATGAGGGTTATTAAAAGCCAAATCAGTCATCTCCTTGCTAGTAGACAGAAAAGTGTCTTTTAGGTCGCAGTAGTGGAAACTAGTAATCGAAATTCTCTCTTGATTTATTGCTTCTTTAAATTGTTTCTCGGTGCCTTTGCAGGAAACTTCTTGATGGACATCACTTTGACCTTGTGTAGTGAGAGCTGGCATGCAGTTCTGTTCTTTTTTCGTCTGTTCGGAATTTTGTCTCTGGGTCAATTTTCTCACAAACTGCATCGGATTTTCATTGATCTTCTCACATATTTCAACCAAGGGCTCCAGGATATTAATATCTTGGATGTAGTCTACACTGAACAGGTTGTAAGATCTCACAAAGAAGTGTCGCAAATCTCTCTTTCTTAGAGCTTCCAAAAGGTTTCGAAACAACTTCATCATGCACTCTACTCTGTTGCTTTGCGTCCACATTTCAGCACCAGTCTCTTCAACTGTTTGCAGAAATAGGTTCTTCAGATGAAACGACACCAAACTCTTGGGTTTTGTGCAAAGATAGGCTCGATGAAATTTTTTTAGGCAGCGGTAACACTGGCGCTGGACTTCGTTTAACTCTCTGCTTAACAGGAATTCTGCATTTGCAAAGGATATTCTGAAATCGCATTCTAGATTGCCACCATTCTTTGGAGCTTTTACAACCAGATGAAAACCCTCCTGGAGAATTTGGTCGATTACCTCTTGTGAAGGCCACTTGCGTTCTCTTCTGATCCATTCTTGCGCAACAATGGGCCATCCTGGAGCTTTAAATGCTGAAACAATGTCGACTCCACCTTTCGCATGATCCGGAGGCTTTTCAAAGTCTGTAAGGTTGGCGGCTTCCTTAATGGAATGCTCTCTTGCTTCAGTTATGGATCCCGCAATCACGGGACCGAAAAAGGGGTTCAGTATTCGCTTTCCAAGTGCCTTCTTCTGCTGTGAGTAATAAGACGGACTTTCTCCCTTCCGCATTGCAAATAACTGTTCTTTCTGAGACAAAATATGGCTTTCAACGAGGTCTCCACTGTTTTTTGTCTCGCTTCTGTCGTCCAACGCGTCAGGGTTTCCCTTCGAGCGATTCCTCATGTCAGAATTAAACTCTCCAGTATTTGATTGAGCTTTCTTGCCATCGCAGGATAAAAATATCCTCTGAAACAAGTTTGCGTTTTTTTCTCTACTTTGTTGCTCGTCTTTTACATCCTTATTTCTCTCGCTTTTATAATGATGTGGTTGACTCTTAGAAACGCTTCGAAACCGAGCTTGATGGGTTTTTGCTCTGTAGCTCTGATATAACTCAAGAAAACCCGGCAGTATTTCTGAAATAGTGTTTGGACGTTTGCTATCAAGATACATATATAATTCATTAGTAAGCTGAGCAAAATCGTTAATAACCTTGGCAAGCTCTTCCCTTCCTGTAAGTTTACAAAAGCCGTGTGCCATCCTTTTTAATCCTTCTCTGTAAACATGAAACGCGTTATTCGGTTGTCTGTTTAACGGCCGGGAAAAACTGAAAGTTAAAGCAGGACTGGCTTCTTTGTTTTTTAATTGGTAGGTGCTTTCTAGAAGAGATGACGGTTCTGGTGTCAGGATCATCATCATCAGTGGCCCAGCAGTAGCAAAGATGATAATATTCAATACGTTTGACACTGAACGCCCATAAATTGCCGGATGGAACGTTTTTAACACTGAGGTGGCCACGTACTCTGTGTCTTCTACAAGGCAGGACTTTAGAACGGGGTGATCAGCTCCTTTGATTCTGACGTGCATTGGATTCTCCGGTAAATATTCGATCAACTCCTCATGGATCGTCAAATTATTTGATTCAGGATATGTCACAATATCCACATCTCCCACATCATCTGGCTCAATGCACTTTAAATCTTCCGCAACGCTTCCATATGGTCGAAAAAGTATGTCGTTTTCCGTATCTTTTAGTAGATCTTTTAAATATTGCTTTAGAAAGTAAAACAAGACCATTTGTTCATGCGCCCTGGATTTTTGAGCATCGTTTTGTTCTCCGAGAGACTTAAATTGTAAGCTTAGTTCTTGTGTTTTTTCATCGTACCCTGCCGAAGCCATTATATCGTTCGAACTCTCGCATGGACGAGTGTGCTGAGTTTTATGAGATCTGGGCCTCTAAAATAGATAATTTTAAGGGAATTCGACATTTCAGTTTTTGTAAGCAAAATGGAAAACTACCATTGGCTGGTCTGGTTGTTAGTGTAATTTCCATTTTGAAGAGTGAATTCATTGATAGAAAATGTTGGATAGGTTAGAAAGGTTATTTTTGCAGTGAAACCAAAACATTCCTTTCTTGAGAGAATATTCCAATGAAAATTCCCTTGAGTCATGTGACTTTTTTATCCATCTTTTTCAAACACACGATATTTCTTTGGATCTCGGTTTCCAAGCCGGCTACCGATCGAAGCTGAAAAACTCGTGGTGGGTTACAGCCTCTAGGAGTGGCAGGCGTTTAACCTTTTAAAAGTCCCAAGAGTACGTGACCAACATCAATTTTCTAACAATATCCATACAGAATTAAAAGAAAAGTTTATGAGAATATATAAAATGATCACCTAAGGGAAAATGCTTTGATCCTTGAACAAATTCTCCTAACTAATTCTGTAAGGAAATGTATGGAGATCAGTCTTGGAGAATCTTTGTGTGGATATTGGGGCTTAAAGGGGAATGGAAAATGGGGAATCACAGCACGGACGAGTTTTTGACTTGTGGAGACTTCGTTCACCCGAAAGGGTTCGACATTTTCGCTCCGTTCACACGAAACTGACGAAGCAGGTTGAATCTTAACGTGCGTCGGAGATTTTACGACCTGGCCATGCGTAGAACGCTGCTTAAGCAAATACAAACTGGCGTCTCCCAGCTGAGTTGCCACGTAGTCATGCAACCACGCCTTTGCCGTTCAATAAGTTCGAAGGTTATGGTGTTAACAGCACACCGGTCCAATTTCCGATCCTACCGACTCTAAATTTGACTTTGAGTTTGGCATGAAAATTTCTGAATTACTGGGCGTGTTATTGTTTCCACGATCAAGGAGTTCGCGTGAGCTGATTATACTCTTTTGGTGTGAACTGAACAGCTGAGCGCCTAAATTTTGACACGTCGAAAATTTCGTCTGGTGCCGTGTAGAAGTGAGCCTCTAAGGTGCGCGCGCATGGTGGGTTAGACCATAATATAAATACCTTCGTTACCTAATTTTCCCAGAGACTTGTAAATCAGGTGTTGATCCTAAGTTTTTGCATCTTCTTGGGTGCCTTTCGCTGCCATTGTGACAAGCATTAATGCTAAACAGAGTGAAACTACAACCACTAAAAGAGGGGGAAATTTCTAGGAACTGGAACTTCCGGTTTCTTAGCATATTTACGGGTTTGTCAAAAATCGCTCGGCCAATCAAGCGTGATGTTGACAGAAAAAAGAAAACGTCATGCATTTTCGAAGAATGTAACGCATATCAGGGATCGCAATCTGTCTTCGAAGCCGGGGGGCACCAAGTAATAGGCTAATGGGGATGTGCCGCTGGATGGAGTCGCATTTTTACGACTGGATTGACTATTGGATTGCATTTTCCATATCGTTACTAGAATGGGATCGCTCAATTTCGGGATTTTGGAGGCAAGAATATTCCGGCAATTAGGGATTTCAAACCGTGAGGATTTTTACTTTTTTTACTTCATTACTAACAAATGCGACAATTTATTTCAGGATGACCTTGATAAAAGGCCTTATAAGGTAGATGCATAAACAGAAAGTTACTCACTTGGGATCGCGAAAATTACATTTACCCAACAGTGACAGATACGGGGTGGATAATTGGCCACAGAATTGATTATAATGGGGTAGAGGTTGTGAGAGACTAGCGACACATAACCAGCAAAAACGTACTCAAATAACCCCCCCGGGTTTTCGAAGCCGGAAACGATGGAAGAGCAATTTAAAACCTTCAAAACCCTGTGTGGAATATGTCTCAGTAAAGCCATTGGGTTCCGTCTTGGAGGGTTTTATAATGTTCTATGTTTTTAGTTTCAATGCGGGCAAAAGGGATAGTATTCTCTCGTTACACGACTAATTCTAATGTTTTTTCCAGGAACTTGAAAATTCCTGTATGTGGTTTTATCCACAAGATAAATGGCAATACTAACTGTAATAAAAAAATTAGACAACCTGAAAAGGACTCTCTCCTCACAGTTGCCCCATAGAGTGGACTTTAGAGCAATACAGTCTCCTTACTTCTTATTCATTCAATCCTGTTTTCAATGATTTATTGTATGCAGTTATTCACTCTTCAAATTACACCTCCTGTGACGATCAAAACAGTGAATCATTCGAGATCTGTTTGGCGCACTGCTGGCTATTCAAACTCAGCATTTGGTCACTAACTCGGAAATGTCTCATAATTTCCTTTTTCGCTCATTCTACTATATTCAAGACTTGATTATAGAAGTGAATTTTTGGGCCTCTGAAAACACCTTGTATCTTTTTGCATCATCAATACAGTTGCATCAACTATTTCTACCCAGCATCCTCAGGCCTTTGACCAGCGGGTAACCTGTGTACAGACCCTCCCACCTCCCCCCGGGAAAAATCGGAGAAGGGGCCCCTTGTCCGATTTTTCCTGAGGGGAGGTGGGTCTGTACACAAGCTACCAGCTGGGAGCTACATACTGATCAAGGGAAACCCTTGGTGACTCAATAAAAAAGATTTTTTTATTAGTTGCTTGGAAAATGCCACCTTTGTATCAGTAACGCGCCGTTCTAGTAATGTATTTCAACTTGAACTGCCCAAAACTTAAGAGACTAGAGTACATGGCCTTTTCTTGAGTATATTTTCTACGAAAAAACTCATTTTAACATTTATTTTCTTCTGTAGTGAATAGTTTTAAGGATCTTTGACCCACTTTGTATCTGACAAAGGTATAATGACAAACATTCACAATAAATAACTGCTACTGTCAGGTTTGTTTGAGGAATCTTAGCAAATCTTAGTGTATAAGCAACTCGTTGACATTAACTTTAGTCACTTTATCTTAACTTTTTTTTTGGCTTGATTTGTTGAGTACGCCTGCTTAATTTACATAAAAAGGCGATGACGTCAGTCTAATGGAATGTCCTCCTGTATAACCTTTGGAGCTTGAGCCGACCTAAGTCGGAGCGCGACCTTCTCACCTCGAAAAATTAATGGAATAAATTGAAACGCGAAACTAGCAAGTATAATTTGGATTAACAAGTCGCGAGAATCCTCGAAAGAAGGATCAAGTATTCGTTGAATGATAGCTTCTTTATTTCCAGTTGCAAAGTCTTCTTGCTTTAGTACATACTTGCACCATTCGAGGACGCTCTTAATCCCATCAAGGATACAACTCCTAATGTTCGGTTCTTGGCTGCACTGAATTTTGAAGTAAGCTGTGTCCCACCACATGTCAAACATTTTAGGGAAGTCAGCAACTTGAATGATATGGTACTTTTCAATTTCTCGCAGATCTTCTATTATTGACTTCTCCAGAGAAGAAAGACTTTGGAGGCTGCAATGAGGGTCTTTAAAAGCCAAATCAGTCATCTCCTTGCTAGTAGACAGAAAAATGTCTTTTAGGTCGCGGTAACGGAAATTAGTAACCAAACTAATCTCTTGATTTATTCCTTCTTTACATTCTTTCTCGGTGCCTTTGCAGGAAACTTCTTGATGGACATCACTTTGACCTTTGGAAGTGAGAGCTGGCATGCAGTTTTGTTCTTTTTTCGTCTGTTCGGAATTTTGTCTCTGGGTCAATTTTCTCACAAACTGCATTGGATTGTCATTGATCTTCTCACAAATTTCAACCAAGGGTTCCAGAATATTGAGGTCTTCGATGTAGTCTACACTGAACAGGTTGTAAGATCTCACAAAGAAGTGTCGCAAATCTCTGTTTCTTAGAGCTTCCAAAAGGTTTCGAAACAACTTCATCATGCACTCTACTCTGTTGCTTTGCGTCCAAATTTCAGCACCAGTCTCTTCAACTGTTTGCAGAAAGAGGTTCTTTAGATGAAATGACACCAAACTCTTGGGTTTTGTGGAAAGATAGGCTCGATGAAATTTTTTTAGGCAGCGGTGACACTCGCGCTGGACTTCATTTAACTCTCTGCTTAAGAGGTATTCTGCATTTGCAAACGATATTCTGAAATCGCATTCCAGATTACCACCATTTTTTGGCGCTTTTACAACCAGATGAAAACCCTCCTGGAGAATTTGGTCGATTACCTCTTGTGAAGGCCACTTACGTTCTCTTCTGATCCATTCTTGCGCAACAATGGGCCATCCTGGAGCTTTAAATGCTGGAACAATGTCGACTCCACCTTCTAGATGATCCGAAGACTTTTCAAAGTCTGTAACGTTGGCGGCTTCCTTAATGGAATCCTCTCTTGTTTCAGTTATGGATCCCGCAATCACGGGATCGAAAAAAGGGTTCAGTATTCGCTTTCCACGTGCCTTCTTCCGCTGTGAGTCATAGGAGGGACTTTCGTCCTCCTGCATTACAAATAGCTGTTTTTTCTGAGACAAAATATGGCTTTCAACGAGGTCTCCACTGTTTTTTGTCTCGCTTCTGTCGTCCAACGCGTCAGGGTTTCCCGTCGAGCGATTCCTCATGTCGGAATTAAACTCTCCAGTATTTGATTGAACTTTCTTGCCATCGCAGGATAAAAATATCCTCTGAAGAAAGGTTGCGATTTTTTCTGTACTTTGTTGCTCGCCTTTTACATCCTTCTTTCTCTCGGTTTTATAATCATGTGGTTGACTCTTGGAAATGCTTGGAAACCGAGCCTGATGGGTTTTTGCTCTGTAGCTCTGATATAACTGAAGAAAACCCGGCAGTATTTCTGAAATAATGATTGGACGTTTGCTATCAAGATACATATATAATTCATTAGTAAGCTGAGTAAAATCGTTAATAACCTTGGCATCCTCTTCCGTTCCTTTAAGTTTACAAAAGCCGAGTGCCATCCTTTTTAATCCTTCTCTACAAACATGAAACGAGTTATTAGGATGTCTGTTTAACGGCCGGGAAAAACTGAAAGTTAAAGCAGGACTGGCTTCCTTGTTTTTTAATTGGTAGGTGCTTTCTAGAAGAGATGACAGTTCTGGTCTCGTCACCATCATCAGTGGCGCAGCGGTTGCAAAGATGATAAAATCCACTACTCTAGATACTGAACGCCCATAAATTGCCGGATGGAACGTTTTTAACACTGAGGTGGCCACGTACTCTTTGTCTTCTACAAGGCAGGACTTTAGAACGGGGTGATCAGCTCCTTTGATTCTGACGTGCATTGGATTCTCCGGTAAATATTCAATCAATTCCTCGTGGATCATCAAATTATCTGAATCAGGATATATCACAATATCCACATCTCCCACATCATCTGGCTCAATGCACTTTAAATCTTCAGCAGCGCTTCCATATGGTCGAAAACGTGTGTCGTTTTCCGTATCTTTTTCTAGATCTTTTAAAAATTGCTTTAGAAAGTAAAACAAGATCATTTGCTCATGCTCTCTCAATTTTTGAGCATCGTTTTGTTCTCCGAGAGACTTAAATTGTAAGCTTAGTTGTTGTGTTTTTTCATCGTACCCTGCCGAAGCCATTATATCGTTCGAACTCTCGCATGGACGAGTGTGCTGAGTTTTATAACATCCGTGGGCTTCTAAAATAGAATATTTCAGGGGATTCGACATTTCAGTTTCAAAGACAATTTTTGTAAGTAAAACTACCATTAGCTGGTAGGGTTGTGAGTGTAATTTCCATTTTGAAAAATGAATTCATTGATAGAAAATGTTGGATAGGTTAGAAAGGTTATTTTTGCAGTGAAACCAAAACATTCCTTTCTTGAGAGAATATTCCAATGAATATTCCCTGAGTCATGTGACTTTTTTATCTATCTTTTTCAAACACACGATATTCCTTTGGCGGTGACAAGATTTCGGTTTCCAAGCCGGCTACCTATCGAAGCTGAAGACTCGTGGTGGGTTACAGCCTTCAGGAGTGGCAGGCGTTTAACACTTTTAAAAGTCCCAAGAGTACGTGACCAACATCAATTTTTTCCTAACAATATCCATACATAATTAAAAGAAACGTTTATGAGGATATATAAAATGATCACCTAAGGGAAAATGCTTTGATCTTTGAACAAATTCTCCCAACTAATTCTGTAAGGAAATGTATGAAGATCAGTTTCTTGGAGAATTTGTATGTGGATATTGATGCTTAAAGGGTGAAAGGGGGACGGAAAATGGGGAATCACAGCACCAGACGAGTTGACTAGCGGAGACTTTGTTCACAAGAAAAGATTCAACATTTTTGCTCCGTTCACAAGAAACTGACGAAGCAGGTTGAATTTTAAGCTCGTCGGTGAATTTACAACCTGGCCATGCGTAGAGGGCTGCTTTAGAACACCCAGCCGATCTGCGAGGGAGTCATGCAGCCACGCCTTTACCGTGCAATAAGTTTGAAGGTTATGGTGTGAACAGTACACCGGTCCAATTTCCGACCCTACCGACTCTAAATTTGACTTCGAGTTTGGCGTGAAAATTTCTGAACGGCTACGCGTGTTATTGTTTCTACGGTCAAGGTGTTTGCGTGAGCTGATTATACTCTCTTGGTGTGAACGGCACACCCAAGGGCCTGAATTTTTGACAGGTCGAAAATTTCGTCTGGTGCAGTGTAGAATTGAGCTTCTAAGGGGCGCGCGCTTTGTGGGTTAGTCAGCGTGCGGAAAGGACTAAACACGACTTCCGGTGCCCAATTTGCCGCTCTGCCATTGGTCCAGCCAGTTGTTTAATTTGCGCGCGCCGTCGTCAACTGACGCTCCCGTTCTGCTGCTAAATCAGCCTTCTAATGTACAGTTTTTATGCATTTCACGCCTTGGATACCGGCTAGATAAGTAATGCTGAATGCTTATGTAGTGAAGTTGCGACGTCGCTCAGATTCATCTCGTTTTTCCAGCAATGTTGCGTATACTGTGATGATCATTTCTGCATTATACTACTACATGAGAAATTTCTTCAATTTGATTGGCTAAGAGCAGTGGTATTTCAGCTTAATTTGAAGTACCTTCTTGTGAAATTACAAAACCTTTGTGGGTAGTAGTATAAACAAATATTATCATGATTTGTACGTGATATTTGGCATAAATACCAGTCGTGATATTTCAAAATTGTCTCAAATTTCACTCGCCTAACGGCTCGTGAAATTACGTATAACAATTTTGAAATATAACTCGAGGGATTTATGCCAAATATCACTATAAATCATGCTATTACTTATACTTATTTTTTCGTCCCGCAGTTTAAAATATATGAAATTCATAATATTTATTATTTTATATACAGACTTTGTTGCAAAAAGTGAACAACTCTGTATTTCTGGAAAATCATTTGGCAACCAGCAACACCCTGATTTGTTGCATTAAGACATTCGTGGGTGGTAAAACGTGCAACATTGCTATTCACTCGCTTTGCAGCAATGTCGCAAAAGCAGCACGTTTTTTGTTGCGCATTTCACCGTATCTTTACGCCCTACAAAAGGGCGTAAGGATGATGCTTTGTTTACTAGCATGTGACCACCAAGAGGTGATTATTATTATTAAATTATATTAATGATAATGATAGAAGAAAGGAGAAGAAAAAATCTTGAAAACAGAGGCCGGACATCTTCGGCCATACAAGTTGAAAGATAACTCAACAGAAAGGCAGGCTGCAGAAAGGTAAAGGGTACAACTACCTGTAAAGGATGGTCAACTAATGAAAGCTCTTTTGCCAACGCAAGTATTTTTGACAAAAGTCTTAACATTGGGTCTAACCAAGAAGTTTTCAGGAATGAGTTTATGGCACATAATTTTTTTTCAAACCATTGTCATTTACTGGTATATCTAAGATGCTTTCCGGCCTTAATATTTTACAAAATGGCTGGCTAAACCCAATTTTCTTCATAGGATGTTATAATGTCATACACCTTGTTGAGATCCACTTTGATTTTTTGTTTACAGAAGTGCATCTTGAAAACGGACAGAAGAAAACCCTCCAAAAGAAGGCATTATATAGTCTGAGTTAATCAAAGTAATTTTTGAAATCATTCTCACTAGAATAACAAGTGGTGTTGCCTGGTAAGTTAAATTTTTTAATGTGTTACAGTAAGTTTATACAGTACTATAGAAAGTATATCATATTATATTGGCTACCAAATTAAAAACAAAAGGAAGGTATTTTGTCTTAAACAAACTAGTAGAAGTAAAAACAGTTTGTGTTAAACAAGGTCAACAACAGTCCTCCCTAAAGTTCTATTAATGCTGCCTCCCCCAAGCCTGTTCCAGGTGCTGGGGCGGATCTAGGGGGAGGGTGCACACCCCCCCGAGATGACCTGCGGTTTTCTAATACAACTGGTATTTTGCCAAAAAAAAAAAACTATGTGGATTATTGGTGTTGAAGTAGAGCAAGAGACGAGTGCACCCCCTCCTAAAAAAAATCCTGGATCCGCCCCTGAGGCGTTCACATAGTTGAGACAGCACAAAGAAACTAAGTGGGCAGGAAACTCAGTGAGGGGGGTAGCAGTGATTCTTTTACCTCTAACGTTCTGCGTCCCTTACGCATAAAAATTCCCAAAGATGCAAAATAATTTGTGGTTTGGTCCCTCAGGACGAAAAGGTCGATTGATTGATCAGAAGATGTTTTTGTAGAAATCCTGTTTGTGTGATTTCTGTGGCTGTTCTTGTGACTGTTGTTTAACGACTCATACATGTGTGTTTCTTTTAGTCTTTGTTGTGCCTGACAATAGAAGGAGCATATTTTTATTTCTGTAAACTGTGATACAGAGTGTTGGAGTCAGTCTTCAGATTAATTGTGTGGTTACAAAACACCCAGGGACTCATTGTTGAAATGGGAGTCTATGGCTCTGGACAGGGACTCATGACTTTTCACAAGATGAGTCCCTGAGGACTCAACATAACTATTTGTAACAAAATCACTGGGGTGGTGGGTCTTCATTTTGCACCACTTTGCACTATCTGAGCGACTGCAACAGCCTTGCCCCTCTGGAATAATACCCTTACTAACTGTCCAGAAATCCAGCGGCTTTTCTGGTGCCAAAAAGATTCATTATTGGTAAGTTTCTCCAGTGACAAGTGCAATACACCGTCTAGTTGACAGAGAGGCACAAGCTACTTTAAGAAAATACCTAAAGTGAGAACCCCTGAATTAACAATTGCCCTGAGTAAGGCCCCCAGACTTCCTTAATGAAGGGGGCGAACCCGTACAAAACCATACCCCACCCCAGCTGTGCTGTGTGAAAGACATGCCTTTGGATCTAATCACTTGTCTACTTAATTTTTTTTTCTTCTACATTAAATTTTCTGGAGAACTCTGATTATCCTAATTCTGCTGCCAGAGTTCAATAATTAAAATGTATTTACAGTTTTTTGCTTTAAAACAGAAAACCCTCATGTTATAATTTAAAGGATGAGTACGTATCACAAGCAGGTATTACTTGTTCAGTTGGCAAGAAGTTGAAGAGGGATGGGACTGATGCTGTAGCTGAATTTTGTTGTCTGAAAGCTTGACTTCTTCATACAGTCAACCCTCAATAATACAGACTCTGACAGGGCCATAGAAAGTGTCCATATTAACAGGGTGCAAAGAAAATAATTTTTACAGCTTGCCATTCGGGCAAGCTGAAGCTAACATTCACTAGCCCAAACATCACTTCAGCTAGCCCCAAAAACGTTTAGATGAGCAGATTGATTTCAAAGTTCTTCTGTAATTTGAAATCTTCAAAGAACTTCACTTGCCTGTCGGGCAAGTTAATAACAGAATTCACTAGCCTGATAGCAAAATCCACTAGCCCCGGGCTATCGGACACTACTTTCTTTGCACGCTGCCATATTAACCCTTTAAGTCCCAGTAGTGACCAAGATCAATAATTTTCTCCTAACAATATCCATACACTGTCAAGAGATACGTTATGAGAATAAATAAAATGATCAGGCAAGAGAAAATGCCTTGATCTTTTATCAAATTCTCTCAACTAATTCTTTAAGGAAATGTATGGAGATCAGTTTGGAGAATTTGTATGTTGATAGTGGGGCTTAAAGGGTTAACAGCGTGTCTGTATTAACGGGTTCAATTTAGAGAAAACGCAAGACTTTCTTTCTCCAGGGACAAAGCAAACTGTCCGTAATAATGAGGTGTCCATATTAAGCGGGTGCCCACAAGGTGGGGCCTAACTGTAGTATAATTTTGGGTTGTTTTACTTAGACGTAGATAGAGTTTGGTTGCAGTATTTGAATAACAAAGTGGCATGGTCCTAATCTTGAAACCTCCATGAAGCACCTGAATCTAATCCTTTCTATGAAATATCCCCTTTAGATTCCCTTTCACTGCACAATGTACATGTATGTACTGTAGAACACTGGAAATTAAAGTGAGCCTTCTTGTTTAGCCTCAATGATCTGAGATTCTATCACGATCCAAATAATCTGTAAAAGAAATAGCACACTCTTAACATTCCCTACCAGACAACAGAAAGAAAGGGAAGATGAAAAAGAGGATTGAATAAACCTTACCTGAAAATTTTATTTATGTAAAAATATTAAAAAAAACAAGAATATTTGAACTGGAACGTTTGCTTTCACTTGCTATTTCAAGGTGACAAAATATCTAACAATGTTTAAGAAACAAAAAGAGAAAATTGTATAAGATCAAAGTGACTTAATCCCCTTTTGTGAATGCACTCCTTTTAAACTTCCTCAAAGGATTGCATGCACTAATTTAAACTTTCTGTACTTACATAACCATGCATAATATCATAATTAGATTCCAAATGCCAATAAAAATCCTGAAATAGCGGAGATTTAGGAGGAATTCTCTGAACTTTTCAGCTAAAAAAAAAAGAAGAACGAAATTAAGAAATCAGTAAGCCAAAAACAGAAGTAACACAATCATGTCTACCACTGAAGATGCAGCCTACAATTTTCAATTACAAGTCACCTTCAATTTACATGAACACATGGAATGATGATTACCTAATGAAGGTTCATCATTTTCATCACCAAATGAGTCTGTAGGATTCCTCTTTTTACTTCAAAAATAGGACAAAATAAAAAAATTAGCACATGTGATAAAATTATAAGACTGTTGGGTAGGTCACACAAGAAAATCCCCAGAACATCTGTATTGGTGGGGAATCTTGTTGTCATCTGATCCTACATGCTTGAATAACAACTTCAAATAAGCACCCCCTCTACCCTCATCGCTAATAAATCCTCTTGTGAGCCCCTCCCCCCCCACCATCCCTCCACGGAGAGAAGCTGGATCTTGGCTGACTGCAGCAGCATTTTCAGCATCATTGGGCATAATGTAGTACCACCCCTGCAGCCATGTAACAATATTGGTACCCAGTGATTTTAAGTAGTACACGACACTCTACGTTGTTGTGTGTTGTTATAGTTCTATTGCTTAATATTATTGTAACGAGGGGGCCTCCTCGTACAAGCCTTGTGGTTTTCTGAGGTCCCCTCGCCACATCTTTGTATAATGTAATGCTTGTGTAATCTTTATTGTGGGAAAATAATAAATAAATAAATAAATAAATAAACAATGTGAAAGCAAAGAAAAAATGTCAGGGAATTTGATATTAATATATTGCCACCCAACACTGCCCCTTCCTGAAACTTGTGCTAAATTTGTTTACCTGTAAAGTAGGAGAGAGCAATTTTTTTGCTTTTCAGGATTTTTTCTAGCAGTGCCCTCTTGAAAATTTAAATTCTTATGCACTTTCTTATGACATTACAGAAAGAGACATATCATGCGTAAAGTAGTACTCACAGTTTGAAGTTTAATACTGCACAGGCATTAATTAGCAGTGTGCTGAAAAGGAAATAAAAAATGGTAATAGGACTGAGTGGAATCCAATTTAGTCTGTAATTATATGAGTGATTAACAAAGGCATGCTGGCACTGTCCTATTGTGTGAGTTGATAGAGTTGTTTTAATTTTTATGGCGTAAGATAAGGCAAGAGTTTGATGAAAAATGGAGATCCGAATGGGAGGGGGGGGGGTGGGGCCTAACAAATATACGGAATTCTGGGGTTATGTGGGGAGATAGCCCATTTTGGAAATTCCGAAGGCAAGGCGAGTTTAAATTATGGAAGCCATCTGTACATGGTATGTTATGGATATTTTCTACATTAATCGCCCATTACACTGTCATATTGGTGCTAAAATCATAACAGTTGATAGCCAATCAGATTTCAGAATGCTGTTATAGTTACATGATTAATAAATAAATAAACTGCACCGCACCAAAGGTTCAAGTCTTCTACAGTTGAATGCTTTATAAGCAGACATCCTTGAGACTTTAAAAAGTGTCTGCGATTGGGAAAGGTTAAATGCGCCTATCTGTGGGAATTTGTCAGGTGATTGTTACTAACTGGGGTTGAACCAAAGAACCTACCAAAAGTGATCTAACCTATGAAGTAGAGTTAGTTGTTAAGTCTATTTATTATATAAACACCAATGAAATACCAAGTGAGCTTTCGTGAGAAAACTTGATATCTTCACATGTGAAAATAACATGTTATCTTCACATGTGAAAATATCACCGTTGCTTTGGCTTCATAATAAACCGCACCTTTCAGACCAAAAAACTTAGTAAGTAAAACGGTTTGGCATTTCATTGGTGTTTATATAATAAATAGAATATTACATGGTCGCTTGGAGATACGAAATTTCTCTTCTTGTGTTGAAAAAAATATTTCACTCATTCGCTGCGCTCACCTGTGAAATATTTTTCAACACTCGAAGAGAAATTTCGTATCTCCGTGCGGCCATGTAATATCCTCTATGTATGTGAGTTAACAGACATGCCATAACTTCAGTTCTCTCGCAGTATCGTTTGGTTGGTTAATATTATGTCTGATGATTTTTTGAGTTTATCAAAATGTGCGTTAAGGGGCATGGAAAATACCAGATGTTTTGAGGGTGCTCCCTCTTCCTCAGTGGTTTGAAGCATTTAATTTTATGTCCCTTCAGGCACCTTGACAAGTGCAGTGAAGCTGATGGATTAAACAATCTAAGGAGCTGTTTACATGATACTGGAATGACTTTCATTCCAGAACGAGTTCATTCCATCTTCATATATTTCTTTGTATCAGTTCACATGATTTTGTTCCTGTACCAGTCATTCCAGAATGAGTTTTCATTCAGATCGAAATTCTTGTGCTGGTACAAACTGTCATTCTGGTATCATATAAACTGAAAACAAACTTTGTTCCAGAAGGAAAATCGCAAATTGTGTAGGGCGAGGGTGAGAGGTGCATGAGCATCTGATCTGGTGCGAAAACCACACAATCCAGAATGCCTTAGGTTGAGCTGTTTGATTCTATCATGTGAATGCAGCATGAACTTCACTCTGGAATGAAACTTGTTCAGGAATCAGTCATTCCGGTATCATATAAACAGCTCCAAAGAGTAAGGCCTTCTTTGGGGGAAAGGGAGTATGTATATTCCTATGCTTAGTTTCAAAAGCTGCCAGTACGTATGATACAGAACAGGAGCAGATCTATACAGGTTCCCGCTGTTTTAGGAAAATCGGTCAGATTTTCCAAGTTCAAATCTAGCCAATATCCAGTCTTTATGCCTCAGAAACCAAAATCCAAAAGATTTCCTGGTGAGGCACATCCCCGAACCCCAAGGAACCTTGCACTTTCACAGCTCGTTTAAGAAATCGGTCAGTATTTATCCTTGATCCGCCTTCATAAGCTAATAAAGTTCCTGTTGGTTTATTTGCACCTATCTTCCTTGCTGCCATAGTTTCAACCCATCTCTGAATTTGAATGAATCATTTATGCGGGATACCTGTGTACAAATTCGATCTCGTTGCGTTATTTTCGCGTTTCTTTTACACTTTCTATTCATTACACGAAGCTGTTAAAACGTACACCCATGAGCTTCCTACGTGTCATATTCTATCAAACTCTGCCATTCAATTTTAACGTGATGCTAGCATGACTAAACGCAACGCAAAATTGAAATGCGAAAAAATGCTCGTAAACAAGGTATACATACCCCGCTACCAGAATGTCCGAAATAAAAGCCATAATAAATGAAATATCCTTGCGTTTGAATACAAAACAAAAACAGTGTCCACATAAGTTGTTCACAAGTTAAAGATAGCTGGCGTGGTTACATAGAAGAACATAGAAGACAAAGCGGCCAGGATTCTAAGCCACTTGTCCCCAATCTTCGTCGGCCACGGTAAAGTGGTCCCTACGGAAAAAAATCCTGCAACTTTGGTTGGTTCTATTTATTCATCTTTGTTTGCCATTTGAATATTGGTGCTGTCGAATTGTCGGTTCTTCATCCTTCATCACTGAATTAATCCAAGAGCACAACATCACTTCACAATTGCTTACAGTTAGCCTGTATAACCACACGCGCCAAACTCAGTATGAGAGTTTAAGACGGAATGCATTAGTCAGTGATTAGTAATTTCAATTTTCAGTGCAAAAAAATCTTTTACCAGAATAACAGGCCACTTGCACCAAGAGGTCACGTGACCAATGCTTCCTTTAAACAATGAGTTGGAATCTAGCTGATGCCAAAAATTGACAGAGCACATAAAAATTATCTTACAACCGAAATTTAAAAGGAAACGCAATAAGGAAGATATTTTATGGCGCTTTGAATTTTCAACCAAGTACTATGATTTGACAAGAGAGAATGAGCTCTTGGATTTGTATTGGCCGCAATGTTGGAGAGCATACTCTTGCCCTCCAACATGGCGGCCAAAACTACTTTTTCCTTATATCTTGTTAAACGTTTGATAGTTACGCTCAAATGTGCTGTAAAAGTTACCAGATCATCTTTTCAACATTTTCCTAGAAGTTTAAGTGCAAAATTTTTGTTCAGAAATAGGTAATTCATAATTTTAAATATCACATTTTGGTCACGTAACCAGCTACTAACTTAGTCATTTATTTTTAAGAAAGTGGTGCGGGTTTGAAAAACCAAATCACTATTATTTTGTTTAAGATACGACACACTAATCGTTTTACGAAGGTAAAATCATATAACTTTCATTTTCGTAAAAAACGATGTCACATGACCTCTTAGAAAGTGCAAATGTCAAATTTCACAAAATTTGTGAAAATACAAGTAAAATTCTGAAAATTTCATGTGTAAGGTGTCGTGTTATGAAATTTGATTTTTTTTCCTCGAGCTCTCGTAACAAATTTTCTTTGGTGTTATTACAGATAACTAATTACATCTATAGCCCTTAAAAAGTGTAGAAAGAAATGCGATATGGCGTAACCCATTCGCCCCTGAACCGCCCGTAACCGCCCGTGCGGATCCACGTCCTTTCTACCTATTGTGACGTCATTAGTTTTAACGGTCAAGGACAACTTTGTCCGCGAATTTGTGCAGAGTGCAGAGATCTTTCAAACCATACCAGAATGAGCACAATTCAGTCGAGGACACCGGAGAAAGAAGCAAAAAACCATGTGACATTGACCTGAAAATCTCCATGAAAATCTTATTCCATTGCTCACCTACCTTTCCTTTCACCTAATCCTAAGATCCTAAAAGCTTTCCTAAAAACTCTTCCCACCAAAACGAAGCCTACTAAATGGCCAGCAAGAAAGAAAAAAAATGAGGCAAGAAAAGCGAAAAAAGAGGGGAAGAGAGAAAGCGGAAAGTAAACGTCAAGACTGCTGGAAAAATTTTCCTCTCTGCACATGCCCGAACTTCCCAAGCTAATATTTTGCATCTGGATCAGAAGGCCGTGAGGTGTAAACCGGTTTGTGGTAAGTTTTATCTCTTTATAGCGGGAAAATGGCCAGAAAATCACTCGAGTACCTAAAAAACGCTTTTTTCGGCAAAATCTCCAGAAGTAAAAGGGTTAAAATATTCTGGCACAGAATCCATCAACGTTGTTGCCGTTCTTACTGTCGTCGCTGTTGTCACTGTTGTCACCGTTGTCACTGTTGAAACTGATGTCACCGTTGCCACTGTTTTCGATGACGTCACTGTTGTCACTGTTGTCGCTGTTGTTACTGTTGTCACTGTTGCACCGTTGTCACTGTTGTCACCGTTATCACTGTTGTCACTGATGTCACCGTTGTCACTGTTGTCACTGTTATTACTGTTGTCACTGTCGTCCCCCTTGTCACTGTTGTCACCGTTGTCACTGTTGTCACCATTGTCACCGTTGTCACTATTGTCACCGTTGTCACCGTTGTCACTGTTGTCACCGTTGTCAGTAATGTCAAAGTTGTCACCGTTGTCACTGTTGTCACTGTTGTCACCGTTGTCACTGTTGTCACTGTTGTCACCGTTGTCACTGTTGTCACTGTTGTCACTCTTGTCACCGTTGTCACTGTTGTCACCGTTGTCACCGTTGTCACTGTTGTCACCGTTGTCACCGTTGTCACTGTTGTCACTGTTGTCATCGTTGTCACTATTGTCACTGTTGTCACCGTTGTCACTGTTGTCATTGTTGTCACCGTTATGACGGTTGTCAGCATTGTCACTGTTGTCACTGTTGTAACTTTTGTCACTGTTGTCACCGTTGTCACCATTGTCACCGTTGTCTTTGTTGTCACTGATGTCACCGTTGTCACTGTTGTCACTGTTGTCACCGTTCTCACTATTGTCACTGTTGTCAACGTTGTCAGTATTGTCACTGTTGTCACTGCTGTCACTGTTGTCACCGTTGTCACTGTTGTCACGTTGTCACTGTTGTCACTGTTCTCACCATTCTCACTGTTGTCACTGTTGTCACTGTTGTCACCATTGTCACCGTTGTCACTGTTGTCACCGTTGTCACTGTTGTCACTGTTGTCAGCAATGTCAAAGTTGTCACTGTTGTCACTGTTGTCACCGTTGTCACCGTTGTCACCGTTGTCACTGTTGTCACTGTTGTCACTGTTGTCACCATTGCCACCGTTGTCACTGTTGTCACCGTTGTCACTGTTGTCACCGTTGTCACCGTTGTCACCGTTGTCACTGTTGTCACCGTTGTCACTGTTGTCACCGTTGTCACTGTTGTCACTGTTGTCAACGTTGTCACTGTTGTAATTGTTGTCACCGTTGTGACGGTTGTCAGCATTGTCACTGTTGTCACTGTTGTCACCGTTGTCACCGTTCTCTTTGTTGTCACTAATGTCACCGTTGTCACTCTTGTCATTGTTGTCACCGTTGTCACTGTTGTCACCGTTGTCACTCTTGTCACTGTTGTCACCGTTGTCACTCTTGTCACTCTTGTCACTGTTGTCACCGTTGCCACCGTTGTCACTGTTGTCACCGTTGTCACTGTTGTCACCGTTGTCACCGTTGTCACCGTTGTCACCGTTGTCACTGTTGTCACTGTTGTCAACGTTGTCACTGTTGTAACTGTTGTCACCGTTGTGACGGTTGTCAGCATTGTCACTGTTGTCACTGTTGTCACCGTTGTCACCGTTGTCTTTGTTGTCACTGATGTCACCGTTGTCACTCTTGTCACTGTTGTCACCGTTTTCACTGTTGTCACTGTTGTCACCATTGTCACTCTTGTCACTGTTGTCACCGTTGTCACTGTTGTCACTGTTGTCACTGTTGTCACTGTTGTCACCGTTGTCACCGTTGTCACTGTTGTCACCGTTGTCACCGTTGTCACTGTTGTCACCATTGTCACCGTTGTCACTGTTGTCACCATTGTCACCGTTGTCACCGTTGTCACTGTGCTCACTGATGTCACCATTGTGACTGTTCTCACTGATGTCTCCGTTGTCACTGTTGTCACTGTTGTCACTGTTGTCACCGTTGTCACCGTTGTCACCGTTGTCACCGTTGTCACCGTTGTCACTGTTGTCACCGTTGTCACTGTTGTCACTGTTGTCAACGTTGTCACTGTTGTAATTGTTGTCACCGTTGTGACGGTTGTCACTGTTGTCACTGTTGTCACCGTTGTCACCGTTGTCTTTGTTGTCACTGATGTCACCGTTGTCACTCTTGTCACTGTTGTCACCGTTGTCACTGTTGTCACCGTTGTCACTCTTGTCACTGTTGTCACCGTTGTCACTCTTGTCACTGTTGTCACCGTTGCCACCGTTGTCACTGTTGTCACAGTTGTCACTGTTGTCACCGTTGTCACCCTTGTCACCGTTGTCACCGTTGTCACCGTTGTCACTGTTGTCACCGTTGTCACTGTTGTCACTGTTGTCAACGTTCTCACTGTTGTAATTGTTGTCACCGTTGTGACGGTTGTCAGCATTGTCACTGTTGTCACTGTTGTCACCGTTGTCACTGTTGTCACTGTTGTCAACGTTCTCACTGTTGTAATTGTTGTCACCGTTGTGACGGTTGTCAGCATTGTCACTGTTGTCACTGTTGTCACCGTTGTCACCATTGTCTTTGTTGTCACTGTTGTCACCGTTGTCACTCTTGTCACTGTTGTCACCGTTGTCACTCTTGTCACTGTTGTCACCATTGTCACTCTTGTCACTGTTGTCACCGTTGTCACCATTGTCACCGTTGTCACTGTTGTCACCGTTGTCACTGTTGTCACTGTTGTCACCGTTGTCACCGTTGTCACTGTTGTCACCATTGTCACCGTTGTCACCGTTGTCACTGTTCTCACTGATGTCACCATTGTGACTGTTCTCACTGATGTCTCCGTTGTCGCTGTTGTCACTGTTGTCACTTTTGTCACTGTTGTCACCGTTGTCACTGTTGTCACCGTTGTCACCGTTGTCACCGTTGTCACTGTTGTCACTGTTGTCACTATTATCACCGTTGTCACCGTTGTCACTGTTGTCACCATTGTCACTGTAGTCAACGTTGTCCCTGTTGTAACTGATGTCACCGTTGTCACTGTTGTCACTTTTGTCACTGTTGTCACTGTTGTCACCGTTGTCACTGTTGTCACTATTGTCACCATTGTCACCGTTGTCACCGTTGTCACTGTTCTCACTGTTGTCACCATTTTGACTGTTCTCACTGATGTCTCCGTTGTCGCTGTTGTCACTGTTGTCACTTTTGTCACTGTTGTCACTCTTGTCACCATTGCCACCGTTGTCACTGTTGTCACCGTTGTCACTGTTGTCACCGTTGTCACCGT